TGACATTGTAGAAGACATTTAGAGAAATGCCCCTGGGTCTGGGACAATTTGCACTCTGTCCTGGTGACGTGTGTTATATAGCTCTGCAGGAACACTGGAAGTGGTGCAGTCCTCTGTGGGTCCAACTCATGATGTCCCAATAGTTTGCCATGGACCACGTCCTCTTCCCTTGAACGCTTGGGCATGGTGGCGCCTGCCATGTTTCTCAGCCGTAAGGTTGCTTTTCCCGATTTGTGGTTAATAAGCACTTATTTGGGAAGTAAATAGCAGTTCCTGACCTTCAATTTATTCATTTAACTCATTTACATTAGTGTGTACTCTTGGTTTTCTATTGTATTCAATGCAATGGAAATGTTACAACTGTGATTTATTTTGGTGCTCAAATTGCCTTTAGTTGGCTTGTGACAGCCTCTTTGAGCTTGTTTCTGTGTCCTTTTGCTATGTCCCCATCACTCTGAGCAAATTTAAATTTCTGGTACAGCAATGTTTTAGACTCAACTTGGTCTTCTCTGGGAAGCAACCATTTCCCAAGGAGCCCCGGTTCTTTTCAGGACAAAATGGTATTAGAAACCATGATCTGGCTCTCAGTGTGCTCACTGCTACTGGGTGAACCTGCTGTGACCCTTCTGGGTGGCCAGAGGTATGAGGTCACACTGATGCTTCCAGTACCCATCCAACCCCACAGGGCTCAGTCTCCTTGATCTGTGTTTGGAATTCCCTTCTCCAAAGAAGGATCCTGAGAGTATAAACTTTTAACCACTACTACAGGAAGTTGCTGCTCATAAATAATAGTTATGATTGTTTATGATAATATGGTGCTAAATAGTTTATTTGTCAGTGAGAAGTTGAGCAGTCTCTATTAGACCATGTTGGGCTGCATCTTCAGAATCCTATGAGATAGGGCCAGGTGTGGTAGTACACGTCTGTAATCCCATACTCAGGAGGATCACAAGTTTGAGGCCAGCCTGGGCTGCATAGTAAGAACTTGTCTCAAAAATAGTAGTTCTGGTTTTTACTTTCACTCTATTGAAAGTATTTTCCTTTCCTAATAAATTTTACTATTGCTCAAAAACAAAAACAAAAAGCCAAAAAAGACCTGTGAGTTAGAAGATGGCAAAACGATTGCACTTCCCACTTCACAAGGAGAAAGGGTTGGGATGCTGTGCAGAGCTTGGGTGCATCGGCCCAGTGCCCTGTGCTGGGTCCATGGGCAGCCTGCTAGGATTAGCTACCTGTCTCCCTCCTGCCTTGGTTGCTTTGGGAGAACCCTGACACTGTGTCCCCAAGAGCACAGTGGCTCTGAATGGTCTCAGAGACGTGAAGTCTGTTTCCCCTCTTTGAGCCCCCAGAGCCTGTCCATCTGTGGCTGTGCCCTTGATCATAGCTCTCTTCTCACAAAATCTGCATGTGTAGGTCTTGGGTTGCAAGGAATCTGGAAGGCTGGTGGGGGTGAAGTGTGCTCAGTGCCTCTTAGCACCCCTCAAAATGCCTGTCCCACTAAACAGGATGGGGGCCTTCTGGAAAGAGTTCATCTTGATAAGAGACTCCGTTATTGCAGTTAGCAATGGAAATGGTACCCAGCTTCTTTAGATAAAGCTGTGGGAGGGTGGGCTCCGGGCTTGGGAAACCCACTTTCCCATTCATCCACCCACTTCCTTCTTTGGTTGTTTGAGCTAGGGTCTTGCTGGCCTCTAACTTGAGATCCTCCTGCCTTCAGTTTCCTGAGTGTTCAGACTACAGGAGTATGCCGCCATGCCTGGATCACTTACTTCCTTTTTGATCCATCATGGGGCTGGACTGGAAAGGGGGTCAGAGGCAGGAGCCCTTCGTTCCCACCTTGGCTTTGCTACCAGCTTGCTGAGCAACCTTGGGTAAGTCACTCGGCCTTTCTGCCTAATGGAAAAGTCCCACTCCAGCTGGCACTTCCTCCTCTTTCCCAGCTCAGTGGCAGAGACAAGGGGGGAGCAGATTCCTGAATCCCATCCAGAGGCAATGCATCATTGATGAAATCCCGCTCTCCTCAGAGTGCTCAGTGAGCCGGTGACTCTGGTTAATTGAATGTTCTGGGACATGGACTCATTCCCAGAAATCCTATTTGTTCCTTTTGTGACAACTGAAAACTGTGCACTCATCTATTCAGCAGATAGCTGTTTTCACTGTAGCAGGTTCTATACCAGATTTTGGGATAATGTCCTGAATGAGACAGCAGAGCCCAGCCTCCAAAAACTCAGAGTCTGGAGAAAGCTATGGGGCAAACACACCACTGCACCTGGTAGGTTGGGCACACTGGGGAGGGGCTGTGGGATGCTCAGGGAGCCTGGGAGCCCAGTCTGGGAGCACTGGGGAGAGTTCCCTGGAAAGTGCTATCCATCTGGGGAGCTCCCAAAGAGCAGGTACCATCATACCCGGGGTATGCCAGACAGACAAACAGTCTGAATCATCTGTGCTAGGAGCTCAGAATTTGAGGCGGGAGCAGGCAGATAAAAGGTGTGTGCATGTCAAGATAGCAAGGTGGTGGAAAAGGAAGAAGGCAAGAGGCTGGCCTGGCCAGTCAGGTTCACTTAGTCTCAAGAGTGCATTTGGGATGCGATTCTTTTATCACAAAGGTAGAAAGCAGAGTGATAATGAAATCAAACTCCAGATCAGTGGAGGGGACTCAAAAGTCAGGGGGTTGCAGGTGGAGGGAAGGAGGCTTGTGGAGGACATAGTTGTGATAAAAGGCTCCTGCTTCTAGGGGCCTGCAGAACGCAGCCGATGGGGAACGCAGGCCCAGTGTTACCAGAACTTCAGCGGTGTTCAGAGAGTCAGCAATCTGGCTTTTTATGGGCAAGCTCTCAATGATCAAATGTTGGTGATTAATTAGCAACAACAGAGAAACTACTGTAGGCAAAACAAACGTGTCTGCAGGCTCCATTTGTTTTAGGAGCTGGTGGTTTGCAACCCTAACCCAGAGGGTTCTATGGATGAAGGTTTGAGGGACACCATTTGGAATCCATATGGTCCTCTAATTGTGTGTGTGTGTGTGTGTGTGTGTGTGTGTTTTGGTGGGACTGGGGTTTGAACTCAAGGCTTCATACTTGCAAAGTAGGTGCTCTACTGCTTGAGCATTACCTCCAGTCCATTTTGCTCTAGTTATTTTGGAGATGGGGTCTCTCAAATCTTTTGCCTGGGCAGGCTTTGAACCTCAATCCATCTGATCTCAGCCTCCCAAATAGCTAGGATTACAAGCATGACCTGGCTGGTTCTAATACTGAGTGGCCTCTACCTTGTGCTGGGCTCTCAAGGCACACTGGGTCTGGGCATGGCCCCTGCCCTCAATCCTGGATCACAGGGCCCTTGGACTAGAGATGATTCAAATCTGTGTCCAGAGTCACTCACTGTAAAAGTACAAAGCGCTGTGGAGCCCAGAGGAGGGGAGGTCGTGTGGAGAAGCTTCTAGGGGACCCTGGGTCCTGTGATAGTTTTGGGAGGAGAGGGTAAGGCTTGGTACAACCCAGGTAGCACATGGGCATCCCAGGTTGGAGGACTCAGGAGGGCTCACCCAGTGGGCACCTGAAGGTAGCTCTTCCTGCTTTGCTAGTGTTCCAAACTTCCCTCTACACTCTCCTGGCCATGGTTATTCACTCTGGAATGGAAGCTCCCCCTTGCCAATTCCTGGAAGTCTCCTGAGAGTCTGGGTCTGTCCCTGGAACACAGTAACGTACTTCTTACCTCCTTACCATGAGCTAGTGTTCCCTAGGCCTGGGGCTTAGAATGACTCTTAGGATGAGCTCTACAGCGCTTATGTTCTTGTGTTGACAATAAACAAGCAAAGAAACCAATGGATAAGATGATTCCAGTGAGTGGCCCTGCATGGCTTGTCTCCTTGCACTGTGGTGGTCTGTCTTCTCCTAGCCTAGGAGAGCCAAGGGGGTGGGGTGGGAGTCTCCCCAGTTCCTCCTTTCTTTGGTAGCCCCTATGGCTTGTCCCTGACAAATAGGGAGTAGTTTAAAAACAAATAAGCAATCAACAAGCAAACAAATGAACAAACCATATTTCTGCTGGCTGTATTGAATGAACGCACACAGGCTGACAATGATTTCAACCTACCTGCACCTGAACCCTGCGGAGGCTGCAGACTCATTATTATCAACCCAGGAGTAATTGCTGATAAGCCCCGAGTGTGAATTTCCTTGCACATAGAGAGGTAGCGGGGGAGTGTTTAATAACAACAGGGATAATCTTAATTAGTGACCTGATAACTGTAATTAATTGCATCATATCCGGAGGCCTCTTTGGAATTCTGGGAGGGAGCAGTTAGCATTTGGCAGCTTTGGGGCTGGAAGGGAGGGGTGCCAGGAGCTGCCTCACACCTTTTCCTTAATTTTGCCAAATTATCCGAGCGCTGAGCCTCGGTTTTTCTCACTGGGAGAATGGGGCTCTATCTCAGGGGCGTTGCCAGTTAGTGAGATTGATGTCAAAGCCCTGGCTTAGTAGGGTTAAGCAGGGATCCAATGCTGTGGGGTCAGGGGGAAGGCAAGAAACGCCCCGGTGACCTATGGCAGCCACCCAGGGGCCTTTGTAGGGGGATGGGGTGGGGGGCACATCACAAATCTGGGTTCCAAGAGTCTCTCACCTTGTAAGGAACCCCACCTCACACTGCTGCAGCACCTGCCCACGGGGTCGCCTTGGTGTGTGGCAGCGCTGCGGGAACGTGTGTGGGGGCACTGGGAGTGATGAGGCCCGCGTGCGACGCCCCCTCCTCCCCCTGCGGACCTCAGTTTCCCCGGCACGGGGAGGATGGGAGGGGGTGCGGAGCCCCGCCCCCTCGGTGGGGTCGGGGTGGAGAGGCGGGGAGGGGGGCGCGGCGGCGCGGCCCCGGCCACCAGGGGTTAAGCGGTGACCTCAGCCGCGGCGCCCCGGGACCGGCGGGCGGGCGGGCGGGGGCGGCGTCGCGTTGCGCCGTGCGCGGCTGGACCAGGCCGCTCGGAGGCGCGGGGCCGGCGCGGCGCACGGTGCGGGCCGCGGCCTCGGGGCGGCGGCGGCCACTGGCTGGGCGCGGGAGGACGGCGGGCGGCGCCGTCCTGGCCATGGGCGCCCGCGGCGGCCGCCCGGAGCCTTTGTGAGCGGCGCGGAGCTGGAGCGGCCCGCGGCGGCGAGCGGTGAGTCCCGCGGCCCGGCCGGCCCCGGCCTCCGCCAGGGCTTTGTGTGTCCGGGTCCCTGGGAGTCGGTGTCCCCTTTGATAGCATGTGCGATCTCCCCGGGTGTCTGTGCGCCCCCGGGAACAGTCCGCGGGCCCGGTCGGTCTTCCCTTTGCGCGCGGTCCCTCTTCTCGTGTCACTCCAGCGGCGGTGTCACTAATGTGTGTGGCCCCTCCCCCAGTCTGTGTCCCTGTGTGCCCCTCTGCGCGACTGGGAGCTGCCTTTGTGCCTCAGTCTCTTGTGTGTGTATGTGTGTGACCTCCAGCCGGTTGGGGTGGGGACGGTTTGGGAATCCCTGCCCCAACCTGTGCCTCACTTTACCCAGCCCTTCACTGTGGTCTTTCCCCCCCCAACCTCCCCATCTCTGCCCCCCCGTTGACCTTGGGGTGGGAGGGCTCCTGGATTGCATGAAGTCAGGGAAGGCTCTCTCACACTGGGTCCTTGCCCAGAGGGGACAGGAGTGGAGTGTGTGTGTGGGGGCGGGGAGGATGCTGGTCAGCGGTAGGGCCCTTGAGCCTTGGATCAGGAGGGTCCTGTGGAGGATGGAGACCAGCCTCCAGGTTGGCCTCTGAGAGGACACCCCCCCCACCTCTGCTGCTCCTTCTCCAAGGGTGGGGTCCTAGGGCATGGGTTTCTAATCTTTCTTTTGTGGCCTTGCCTAAGCCTAAAGCCAGCTGGGTGGGTCCCATACCCCCACCATGGGCTTCAGAGCTCAGTCACTGTCTCAAAGTCCTTGGCCTCCCTTGAGGGAGCCAGAGGCCCCATCTGCTCCTCCTTGGATGCTGGGGAGAGGGCAGGTTGTGTGGTTTCATTAGTATGCACAGCCCTGCCCTGTGGTCCTGCCCACATGGTGGTGAGCTGAAGCATCCGTCTGCCCATCTGTCCATCCATCCATCCACCCAGCCCTGGTCCCCACTATGTCTAGGTCCCAGGCACACAGAAGGAAAGGAAGGCATCATCTGAGGATCTCCAGGCTGCTGTGATTGTGGGTGGGGACTCTCAGGGTGAAGCTTCCTTGGGCCCCAACCTCATTTTCACTCTGTTCCATTACAGTTTACCTTCCTGAGGTTCCCTGTTCCCTCCCCCCATCAGAAAGCCTTGGCTCAGCTGTTTGCTCTATCCCATATGTGGGTCTCACTTGAGGACAGACACCTCCTCTCTAGCAAGCCACATAGGCTCCCAAGGCTTTTACAGTCCTTGCTCGGCCAGGGTGGTTCCTTTATACCTCCCAGGAGACTGCAAGCCTTTGAGTGTAGGGACCATCAGGCCCTGGCCCCCATCCTAGAGCAGTGCCTGGCATGTCATAGATGTACAGCAGCTAGTTGCTGGAACCTGTGGTTCCTAAATCCTGCTGTTGCAAGTTTTAGCTTTAGAGTTGTCTAGGACCTGGGTACCAGGTTATAGGAGGAAAGGCAAGTCCATTGTTAATTTAGAAATAGTGAGTTTATTCATAGTACCTGCTAGGCCAGGAGCTGGGCTAGCGCTTCCTGTATAACAACATAATCTCCTTAGATGAGTTTTGAAAAGATAAAGAAGGTGTGTGTGTGTGTGTGTGTGTGTGTGTGTGTGGTGTGTGTGATGAGAATAACTTACATTTACCTGTGTATAGTCACAGCTGCTGTTTCTTTGTTTCCACAACAACCCTGATAATTAGGCAGGGAAGATGGGCTCAGACCCATCTTACAGATGAAGAAAATGAGCATTGCAACATTTAGTGACTGCTTAAGGCCGCAGCTTGTCAGTGAAGGAGCCAAGACTGAGTCTGGGTCTCTCCAGTGGTTTAGCTCTTACCTTATCTTCAGTGCCTCTGTTCTGTCCCTGGCCCAACAAAGGTAAGGGAGCCCCTAGCTCACCCTCAAGGGGCCCAAAGTCCATGTAGAATGTCAAACTCATAAATAAGGGTGTGCTAAAGTTCTCTTTCCACCCCTCTGTGTCCTCTGGGGCCAGCCCAGGCACTTCCTTGCCCTGGGCCCTTAGAGAGCTCCTTGGCCTCTACCTCAGTGGAGGACACCTGAGCCGTTTTTCCTTTGGGTCATTTGCTTGTCCTGATAAGTGAGAGCCCAGAGTCTGAATTTTAGGAGTTTTGCAAGCTGGTTGATAACAGAGCCATTGTAAAAATTGTGAGATACAAAATTATGATGAAAAATGAATTATATTGAAAACAAAGGTAACAAATACAATCATTTCCTAATTATATTTTGTTATTATATACGCATTTGTTATTGGTGCTGTGTGTATTGTGTGTTGTGTGTCTGACGTATACAGCAGTGTGACCTCATGTAGGTAACCTGCAATTGACCATAGTGAGAGTATTTACACCATAAGAATCGGCCAACACTGTTCACCAGGAATTTGGCCTTGGACAGCCAGTTAAACATTTTACAGCGCCTCACTGGGGATACAGCAGTGAGCAGCTGGTTCACAGCTCTCCCCTGGAGCTTACATTCTGGCTGATTTTGGGGTGGAGAGTGAGGATGCAGCTGCTGGGCAGGGCTTGCTGTGGTGTTGGCAGGGGTGTTGTAAGTTGTCCTTAAACCAAATGAGGTCCTTCTGCAGCAAGTGAGCTGTTCCAGGCACCAGGCAGAGGGGAAGGGAGATGAGGAGCCTTGGTTTATGAGAGTGGCTTCACCACTGCTTGAACTCTTGGGATGGCCCAGGCATCCAGAGGCCAAAGGTGGTAGTGTCCTAGGACAGTCTTTGAAGTCAGGTAGCTGGGGACTTGTGGAAGTTGATGTCCAGGATAGGCATGTGGCTGAAGTTGTCTCGGGGTGGCTTAGGTGATGGTAGGTGTGGCCCATCAGGATGGATTCAGAGAACTCAGGAGAGATTAGAATTCACTGTTGCTTTTGTACCATCTGTAATCGCTGGTAGGGACCCAGGAGTGACATTACAGAATCTGTGCTGGGTCGTGGGCAGTACAAGAGCTGATTGCTAAGTTTTAGGAACTTTTCAGGCCGGCTGTTAAACAGCCATCATAAAAACATGGACATGGCGCAGTCACCCAGCAGTGGAGGAGGGTGCAGGGCATGGTGTGAGAGTGGGGTGGAGCAGGCTAAGGGGCCTGGCAGAAGGAACAGCACTGCAAAGGCTCAGAGGTGCTAACTGTTGGGCATTCACCTGACTCAGGTGTCAGGTGAGCCGGAAGTTGGCCAGGAAGTGCTGGCCCTTCCTCTGGCCAGCAGGCGTGGTGTCATCTGGGCACCAGCAAAGGACAGCTGCAGACCTCACCCATTGGGACCTTGTGTTCTGTGGATCGCCCCTTTCCTGCACGTCTTTGAAGTTTCCTGCTGGCTCAAAGCCTGCTGCTGTCCCAGTCAGTCCTTGGTCTGTGACTGGTGGGGTTTTTTTATTTTTTTCCATTTTTATTAGAATGTATTCATGTACGAAGGGGATTCACTGTGACAATTCTGAATAACATTACATTGTACATTGGTTAGCACTCACCTGCCATCTCCCCCCTGCATGTAACTGGTGGTTTAACATTAGCCCACACAACACAGTCTGGAGGTGGGTCTCCTGCTCCATCTACCTCCAACAGCACCAGGGAAGCTGACACAGAAGTGACCTCTGCTGCTTCCGTTCTGCATTTAGGCAGAACACTGAGAACTCACTGCTTAAAGGTAACCTGTGTTGACTTTATGCCTGTGTGTGCCAGTGATCCATTTAATTCCCCATCCCAGTCCTGCAGAGGGTGCTTTATCTCATCTCAGACATGAGGAAACTGAGTCTGGGGGGGGCAGAGTGACTTTTCAATGCCACAGTGTTCTAAGTGGCAGGATGCAGCCCACACAGGCCTCTTGATTTTCCTATAATGCCTGGCACCTCTCCTTTATTTTGGTTTTCTTTCCTCTTTGGAGGGCGAGGGGGAGATAATTCATCAAACGTCTGCAGTTTCATGAAACCAGTGGGTGTTTTTTTCTTTTGGTGTGGGCAAGGTCCAGTCTGATCAGAGCTGAGTTTGTTACCCTATGGCTCAGGGTCAAAGCTGAGAGTAGAATCCCAGTGCCCACAAAACCCCTTAAGCCATGTGTCAAGAAGGAGCTGCCCTTGGTGTTCAGAGGTAGGCTCTGACTGTCCCCTTACCTGTTCTTAGCTGCATCCCCAGCTCAGGGCATACATCTGCTCATGGTAGGCCCAAGCAGAGGTGACCTTCCTGGGTTTCAGATCCCCTCCTTCTCCTTGGCCTGCTCCCCAGTGCCTTCCCCTCTGAGAAAGTCCCGGTTCAGTGGCTGCCTGATTGGTATGCATCCCTGAGTTTAGCCATTAGTGTACAAGGCCAGCTCCTCCTCTCTTCCCGCTTCATTGTTTGGAGTGGGCAGACTAGAGTGAGCTGTAGTTAGAAATGTCGCCTTTTATTCAATTTCCCTAAGAAAACAATGGTTAAATTAAGTAGGAAAATAATGGTCTCTGGAAATAGAAGAAAAATATCCCCAGCCTAGCTGTTCCCCTTTGAATTTCTTTAAAACAAGGGTTTGTTTTACTTTAAATTATGCATGGATCACATGACCACTGAAGAAACTTGGAAGGCACAGAAAGAAGAAACCTAACATCACTCTTTATTCTACCTAGAGACAACCCCTCAGTAGTGTGGGGTCACTTGTGTGGCCAGTGATTCATTTGCTCATTGGGCAGGTACCCTGCAGGGTTCCCAAAGGGAGTAGAGGGTTCCACGGCTCCCTGCTGGGTCTCTTTCTCCAGTGGACCCTGGGTAACTCTTTTGTACCTCAGTTTCCCTTCTAGAAAGCAGGGATATACTAGTAACTGTGTCTCTGTGTCTGAGGGTATGGAGATTTAAGAGGAAAGTGCAAGTAGGGCATTCAGGACAGTGCCTGGCCCACTGGAGCACAGAGATGTTGGCTATGGTTATGGAAGGGAGGAAAGTTGTTTCTTCTATCCTCTTAGGTTCTGTGTTGGGACCTGTGAATCAAACTGACAAAAGACAGATAAAGGAGAGAAAAGGC